GTAACTTAATCGATAAAACAAATACTGATAACAATATTAACAACAACAACAATAATAATGGCTTTAGCAATAATTATTTTAATGATAGTGATTATTATAGAATTGATTAATTGGTATGGATACTCACAAATAGCGAACATGGTAAGAACTTGTTAATATTTGTATTTATTCATTTAACTAATCAATTAACTTAATAATTAGCCTTCCAATATGCAATTTTTTTTTAACATTTGAAAACAACGTTATATGTATTTTTGAAATAAGGCATATAACATATATTTAAGTGTATTTCAAAAGGAAACTATAAAAAAACAAAGGATGCTTAAAAAAGATATTTTACAAGTAAAACAAGAATTGACAAGAACAAGTTCACAGGTATTTATGCGAGGAGGAGGCGAATTGGAATCAGAAAGAGATTGTTATAAATCCATATGATTTACTTTTGCTTCGTTATTGATAAAGGATCAATTTGCTAAATGGGCCAAGTTAAGAAGAAAATTGGATAGCAAGATGAATGAATTAGAAAAGATTTGTAAATATATATATATATTTAATAATTAAGTTGGGGGTGTAAAAAAATTTAATTAATATATTAATTTTTATTTTTTAATAATAATAATAATAATAATAATAATATATATATATATATATATATATATATATATATATAGCAACTTCGTTAGGATATATGAGGACATCATTTGTACTAAAATTTCAAACTATTTTGTGGGGATCAATTAATGGAATTCAAATAATTATGATATTATGGTATAGAACTACACCTGTTTATTTTTTACCAAAAAATTGGTTCAGTCCAGTTAGTTGGATCTTTTCATTGCCCTTTTCTCCATCAGGTTTTTGATTTTTGAAGATTTTATTGTTGATTTTTTACGTTCGTTTGTTTAATTTTCAAATACATTCATACATACATTTATATTTATATTTATATTTATATATTATCAAAAAATTAAATTTTAGGGGCTGTTAGTGTATCAATTTGGCTTCTAATTTGTCGAAAAATTACAAAAAAATTAGTAATTTCTTCTAAAGATTCTGGTATATATACATATACACACATATAAAAAATACTATTGATTGATTAACTAATTGACTGATTACCTATTTATTTATTTTTTTTTTTAGTGTTTTTTTTCAACCGGACATATAAACTTATTTCATCAAAATTAAATAAATCACAAGTCTCATAATTTTACAAATCAGAATGGGGCAAGAAAGAATGATGTGTGTGTATGCTAGAGATGGGTACAAGAGAAGAAAAAAGTAGCAAGAAAAAAATAGAAAAGATTAATATCTATCTATCTATCAGGGCTTTAGAATATTAGAAAGAAAAGTTGGATATTAACTATATAAAGCAATTATATCATATTTATTAGTTCAATACCATCAAAGCTCATTTCTTGGTTCTAAGACTTTTGTTTGCTGTAATTAATGTTCTTTGTAGCTAAAGTTAATTTCTATTTATTTATTTATTAATTTTATTTAAATAAATTAGAATACAAGAATATAGTAATTTACAAATTATCTTCAATATTTCACTTAAAAGTTTGGGTGTTAAAGGTTATTATCATAAGGGAAAAGCCAGAAATACATGTTTATCGTTTAATATAACTGATAGGAAGGACTAACCTCCCGCTTCCCATTGTATCTACCAAATTCATTATTGAATTTCATTAAATAATATATAGTTTGCCACAACCAACAAGAACGAGCATATTAATATGCAGTGAGAATGTAACAAACTAAAGAATATTATCATAATACATTGTTGATTGGATATATCAATAATTCATTTCAAATATATACATAGTCAAACCAAAGGCATTTATGCAGCCACTTTTCTTCGGATTAACGGAGTACTTCAAAAACTGAAGATCGGATTATCGTGTAATTTAAATAGAAGGAAGGAATGGTTTCAAAAAAAAAAATTTCGGTCTAACAGGGTCTACCTATGGATTAAAAGATGAAAGGCTACGGATTAACGGAGTAAATTTATATGTTAATGTCCAATTTCAGCCCATATGCTATACTGTACTTTGTTGCACGAATTTTTCTACACAATTATTAATTATTATTATTGGCTGCTTTAATGTAACACGAACACGACTTCCTCAACACAACACAATCAAATATGAATATTTCACAAATATTGTTATATAGTTCTTTGAGAATAATTTGACCTGGTCATTACTAAAATTTCTTCAATATAGAGAGGAAACTGTAAGCTTTACGTACAATAGAGGAATGGAGCATAGAGTATACAAGAGAGTTTTAAACATGTTTTCTGAAGAGCGAGCTTAATCATGTCTCCTGAGTTTTGAAGTTAAGTATATTTAATATGATTGCAGATTGTGTGGGTTCAAGAGCTAGAGTATGTTCCGGTCTTAGGACATGTTGTGACATATTGACAACCCCCGAGTAGCTAGCCACCACGCCCTAGCTAGTGATAGTGATCTATGCCATCCCTCGGGCGCCCTTGAATACACTACTTGGTAGTTGCCATAACACAACCGATGAATATGCCCCAACTGGTTATTAGGCCATGCCCCATGTTATGGTCCATCTCAATCGCATAAAATAATAAAAAAATGTTTATTTGAACTTATAGTAATATCCAGTTCTTATACTAATATTCATCTCTTTTTAACGAATGAGAGAGAAAACCTCCCAAACTTCTGGAAAGAGAAAACAATATTGAAAAGGTTTGGTTTGTAAATTGTGTTTTGCAATTTTTTATATACGCAAAGGATCTGATCTGATATATTTGTAAATAGTTAGGTTACATCAATGACGTTATGGATGATTCAATCAAAGATTTTCAAAACTGTAAGAACATTCTTATCTGACAAGCTAGAATCATTTGTAACAGACTCAATTCAGTGCTCTAAGAAGCGAGTTCTTGTAAATATTAATTAAAATCGGTATTACATTTATATTTTGCATAGTAAATTTACTTTCCTTCTCAATATCTAGTCACATGTAGAAGATTCTCAAGATCATGATAAAATTTCTAATTTTTCACGTCAGATCAAAACAAGAAAGTAAGTATTAATTTTATTTTTCATTGCTTCATATTGATATCATGCTTTTTTTTTTAATACAATATAGGCCAAATGGTTTAATGTTTCATTTGATGAATATGTTGACTTGAGTGGGCTTATAGAAATGAAATTGCCAGTGTTCCCAAAATCGACATATGGAACTTTCAACAGATTGGGAACTTGACACACCAGTTCCAAGCTGGTTGCAAAAAATGATGGAACAACATAAATTATTGATTTCACAAACTGACCCATCCGAGAGATTTAAATCAACAAAAGAGTAAGGGCTTGATCAATACTGGATCCTTTTGTCTTTGATGGTGGCCAAATTCTGACCGATTTCATTATTTAGACCAATCTGGTGACGGATTGTGGATGTGTCAGACCCAAAAATCGCGCAAGAATTCTTGTCTAAAGAAGAATTTTAGATCTACAAACCACGTTTTCAACTGCTCTTAATATTGTTCATCCCAAGAATGACTGGACAGTGCTAGAGCCTATTGCTGAAAGATGTCTGCAATCTCTTTCAAGGGTAAGTATTGAAATTAAGGAGTTTGGTTTTATATGATAATTTTAATTAACATGCACTTTTTGTTCCTAGCTGGACAGTGGTCAGATCTGTATTATTGGAGAAATAGTGAAGCCTAAAGGAATACATGGAGCCATTCTTGAACTTCGGAAAATCATAAAGAATACCGAGGAGCCGAACCTAGAACCCGATTTATTTGCGATGAGAATCCAAATAATAATACAATACCATTTGCTTTTATTGAAGAAATAGACTATCTGGATAAAGATGTGAGTCACATTTTAGAATTGGCTTGTTATACGTAAGTTTATTTTATTTGATAATGCTAGCTTGGCATTTTGTTATTTTGCATACACATTATCATTTGAACGTCTAATACCACATTTCTTTGCAATCGGATGTGAAATGTTAGCAAAAGGGAATTCCCCAGCGAAAAAACACAGAAAGAGATATTGATATTTTCATCAAAAGACACATATTTTCATGTTTTGATGACATCCTTGGTAGCCACTTGTAGGTTCTATTATCATTCTTATGTACTGTTCATTGTTGATAATAATACTAATTATTTCTCAAATAAGTGGAGAAATGGTGTCTAGGTCATCTCGAGATCAATGGTGTGAAGCAACAGATGCCCCAGATAATGCAGAGCAAGGTTGGCAAATGCGTGGTCCATTAGTGGTCTATTGATGATCCATTGAGTCCATTAGTGTAACACTTTAACCATATTTAATATTTATTAATGGCAA